TCAGTTCTGTATAATAGAAATATCTGTAACCACGATGTTCAAAGAAGCAGGCTCAAGAAACGATACGGTGAGTGGGCAGAACTATTCCCAATGGCAAACTCGAAATCACAAAATTAAAACCCCTTTAATATTCGTTATCTGTGAGAGGCGAAGGCACTCTAAGGTAAACCAAGTGGCTGCAAATTCCAGTAACAACCAACTGCTGACAAGCTCTCAATCATTCCCTTTTTTCGAGAGCAGTTTACAAACAACCTGATGGGCAGGGCATAGGGGTGAAGGGGAGGGGTGAGAGCTGACTACCTGGCATAATCCAGTAACGACTTTGTTAAGGCGTTTACACTTATGGGACCGAAACGTCTTATCTCATTCTTACTCTTGATTTTATCGTTGTTTGCAATCTCCCAGATTTTTACCAGTTAAGCATCCAGGGCTGACTTGGTTGCCGCAATTTAACTACCATCGAAACGACTGCGCGAGTCGCAGGAGGGTTGGTTGTAAACACTTGGAAGAAATGTCAATAAACCAACGTATGCAAACTTGTTGTAAAGTCGAAGAATCACTGGGAAGTCTTCTTGAGATTGAGCAAGTGAAATTTTTTTACAGTGCTAAATAAACGCAAATGGCAGCCAGGAACACTGTTCTGGTCATTTCGAGATCCGTTCCGTCTTTTCAACGCAAAAAACAATTTATCATTGTTAAATTTGTCTTACTTTCTTCACTCTCGCGAAATTAATTTCTCTGATCACTGTTGCAAACTGGGTCATCTGAAATATAAATCAACAAAAAAGTGAACATCGCCGGTGATATATGAGAGAAAATATCTGCGAAAATTCATCCAAATTTTTTTCTGACATTGTCTATTGTCCAGGAACATATCGTGGCAAGCATTTGAGAAATGGTCAAAATTATCGGCTGGCCCCCTAGCATTCGAAGATCGCTCTCCGGCACGCCGGGACGCTCGAAAAAGTAATGCGCATTTCGATATCCTGTTTGCAAAATATGCGCATGGCGATAAGGAATCGTTTGATGGACTGGCCGGTATCGTGGCTCATTCAGCATACCCCAAAGAAGGCATCATACATTTCGATGGGTCCGAGTTCTGGTCAGTGAACGGACGTAGCGGACTCGAACTCCGATATGTTCGCTTTATTCTACTCCCATTTCAGGCGTGATGGAAATGAAATCTGTTTGAAATCTGCCTTACTTTTTCAGGTAGCACTTCATGGAATCGGTCCCGCGCTGGGCCTCAGACATTCAAGGGATCCGAGAGCTGTTATGAATCCATACTACCGGTTCATACATTGATGCGCTTTTTCAGAATTTTTAGCAACAGAAAATGAAGATTATCTTAGCAATCATAAACGGATCCAGAGCTTGAGGAAAAGGCGGGGACAGGGTTTTGGCGCCTCCTAAACTCCCCAGCGGCACAAGCACTAGTGCTACAAAAGCCCGGATCTAAAGCTAAGACTAGAATAAACTGAAGCCTAAAGTAACTCTAAGCAGCAGTGTTACAGCTTTATTCCTAGTTATGCGTTTTTGCTTATATGCAAATGCAAAAACGCACCCTGGTGTGTGTGTGTGGGTGTGTGCCTGTCCGGATATTTCAACTCGGTGCCCAAGTAAGCTCCGACGCCATAATTTTGCCAGTGGCTTCCCCGGCCAAGTGCTACCGCAGGATTGCGCATCAACCCTCACGCAAGTCTGGGCCCCGTCTGCGAGAGGGAAACCTTGGGAACCAGAAAAGCTAGAAAGCTGAAAATATGGGGTTATGTCCCCCGCCTACCTGGAACTCAAACATTTCAAATTCAGCCCCCAGATGTGCGTGGTTCCCGCGTATGGTCCCGTAAGGGTTCCTGGCGCGGAATTCGATAACTTGGGGACCAGGAAAGCGGGAAGGCTGAAATTTTCAGAGAATGTTCCTAGCATAATTACAGCTTAAATTTATCAAATTAAACCTCGTTTGTGCGCGTTTCTCACGTACGACCCTGTGAAAGTTTTTGGTGCGAAAATGGCTAATTCGAGAACCAGGAAGGCGAGAGGCCCGAGTTATCAGGGAATGCTCCAACACAAGTATAACTTACAGCTATCAATTTCAGCTATTCAGTGTGCGTCGTACTCACGTACTGCCTCGTGAAAATTTTTGGCAGGAAAATTACTAACTCAAGAACCAGAAAGTTTGGAAAGTTAGAATTTAAAAGGAATGTTCCTTGTCCAAATACTGCGTTTACCATTAGCTTCCCGGACTTCAAAGACTAGTATATCATACATTTCTATCCACTGGGTTTCCAAGCGATCTCGTTATAACATGAAATCTTGCAAAACGCATGGTCACACGGACCCACCGGTGCGAGCCGACAATGACTTAGATGAGAGAGGGTACTCTCCTCCTTCTTTCCGTCGTCTTCTTTCCCAGGAGCCCCACTCTCACCTCCCTCCCACCCGACGTTGCCTCCCCCTCCTCATTCCCCTCAGGAGTCCGTCCTGGGTTCCTGAGGGGAAGGAGGAAGTGGCGTGGGATGGGATGAGGTGAGAGTGGGGCTCGTGTTAGCAATACTACTTGATACTCAGTACTTAAAATGGCTATCACAACACAACTGACTCATGTCTGGCATATTCTCTATTGGTGTAGCCGACAACCAAGCCATCAATTCACCCTCCACATTCACGGCATAGCAAACATTTCACTTATTAGATTGGCCCAGTGCATCGATTGTCTTCCGAATGCATCTTAACGATAGCCTTTGTTAATTGAAAGTCATGTGTTTCAGCCAAATCACAGAAGCAATTATGAGGCTACAGACGATCGTTTGCCTCATACAATCCATGCACCAACCGGAAATTGACCCTTTAAAATCCGCGAATCGCATTCTGCTTTTTACTGCGCAAAACGACACACTGTGAACTGTTCATCCTGAATAGTCCCAAATATCCTCAAAGCGATTTACTGACAACGAACTTGGAGTATCCTAAAATAAGAAATCCAAAAAAGCGCTTTTTTTAAGGGATCAACTAAAAGAAGGCTTTGAGCTCGGTGAAGACGATATTTTGGCGATCAGACTTTATGCTGTAAAGAAAAACGAAACAGTGACAGCGAGACCACGCGTATCCCAGCACCGATGA